GACTTGTTTACTGAACAGAAATAGGCCTATACCCTTCAACTGCAGTGTAACAATACTCTCCAATACAATTGGAATACATGAGGACATCTGTCTGCACATTTCTTTCCTAATCTGACATTTGTTTTTATCTTACTGTTGTTCCAAATTGGAAAATACACTCTTAGAAAAAAAGGTCCTAAAATGGTTATTCGGCTGTCCCAATAAGATAACCCTTTGAAAAATATTTTTTGGTTGCAAGTAGAACCCTTTTGGTTCCAAGTAGAACAATTTTGGTTCCATGTAGGACGTTTTCCACAGAGGGTTCTACGTGGACCCAAAAAGGGTTATCCTATGGGGACAGCCGAATAACCTTTTTGGAAGCCTTTTTTATAAGAGTGTACAAAAGTTGCTGCCAATGACTAACTGATTAGCAGATTAAGCAGATCAACTATCATTTCGATGAGGGCCACATTTCATAATCATAAACTATAATGACCCACAAATCTAGATATGTCCAGTTAGTTCTGTATTGTGTGTGTATCAGGGCTATGCTGTGCTGTCCCTAATGCTACATTCTTAGAAAAAATGGTTCCAAAGGGGTTCTTCGGCTGTCCCCATAGGAGAACCCTTTTTGGTTTCAGGTAGAACCCTTTTTGGTTCCATGTTGAACCCTCTCGGGAAAGGGTTCTACATGGAAACTAATAGGGTTTTACCTGGAACCAAAAGGTTTCTACCTGGAACCAAAAAGGGTTCTTCAAAGGGTTCTCCTATGGGGAAAGCTGAAGAACCCTTTTAGGTTCTACAGTGAGGGAAAAAAGTATTTGATCCCCTGCTGATTTTGTATGTTTTCCCACTGACAAAGAAATGATCAGTCTATAATTTTAATGGTAGGTTTATTTGAACAGTGAGAGACAGAATAACAACAAAAAAATCCAGAAAAACGCATGTCAAAAATGTTATAAATTGATTTGCATTTTAATGAGGGAAATAAGTATTTGACCCCCTCTCAATCAGAAAGATTTCTGGCTCCCAGGTGTCTTTTATACAGGTAACGAGCTGAGATTAGGCGCACAGTCTTAAAGGGAGTGCTCCTAATCTCAGCTTGTTACCTGTATAAAAGACACCTGTCCACAGAAGTAATCAATCAATCAGATTCCAAACTCTCCACCATGGCCAAGACCAAAGAGCTCTCCAAGGATGTCAGGTACAAGATTGTAGACCTACACAAGGCTGGAATGGGCTACAAGACCATCGCCAAGCAGCTTGGTGAGAAGGTGACAACAGTTGGTGCGATTATTCGCAAATGGAAGAAACACAAAAGAACTGTCAATCTCCCTCGGCCTGGGGCTCCATGCAAGATCTCACCTCGTGGAGTTGCAATGATCATGAGAACGGTGAGGAATCAGCCCAGAACTACACAGGAGGATCTTGTCAATGATCTCAAGGCAGCTGGGACCATAGTCACCAAGAAAACAATTGGTAACACACTACGCCGTGAAGGACTGAAATCCTGCAGCGCCCGCATGGTCCCCCTGCTCAAGAAAGCACATATACAAGCCCGTCTGAAGTTTGACAATGAACATCTGAATGATTCAGAGGAGAACTGGGTGAAAGTGTTGTGGTCAGATGAGACCAAAATCGAGCTCTTTGGCATCAACTCAACTCTCTGTGTTTGGAGGAGGAGGAATGCTGCCTATGACCCCAAGAACACCATCCCCACCGTCAAACATGGAGGTGGAAACATTATGCTTTGGGGGTGTTTTTCTGCTAAGGGGACAAGACAACTTCACCGCATCAAAGGGACGATGGACGGGGACATGTACCGTCAAATCTTGGGTGAGAACCTCCTTCCCTCAGCCAGGGCATTGAAAATGGGTCGTGGATGGGTATTCCAGCATGACAATGACCCAAAACACACGGCCAAGGCAAGAAAGGAGTGGCTCAAGAGGAAGCACATTAAGGTGCCTAGCCAGTCTCCAGACCGTAATCCCATAGAAAATCTGTGGAGGGAGCTGAAGGTTCGAGTTGCCAAACGTCACCCTCAAAACCTTAATGACTTGGAGAAGATCTGCAAAGAGGAGTGGAACAAAATCCCTCCTGAGATGTGTGCAAACCTGGTGGCCAACTACAAGAAACGTCTGACCTCTGTGATTGCCAACAAGGGTTTTGCCACCAAGTACTAAGTCATGTTTTGCAGATGGGTCAACTACTTATTTCCGTCATTAAAATGCAAATCAATTTATAACATTTTTGACATGCGTTTTTCTGGATTATTTTATTGTTATTCTGTCTCTCACTGTTCAAATAAACCTACAATTAAAATTATAGACTGATCATGTCTTTGTCAGTGGGTAAACGTACAAAATCAGCATGGGATCAAATAAATGTTTTCCCTCACTGTACATAGCACCTAATAGTGTATCTGGTGACCTAACCAGGAAGTGGCCCTGCAGTAACTCAGGTCCGTGGTCAGAGATAGCCTAATGTTGACACATATTTGTAAAGTGATGTCAGACTTTGCTCTGGGGTAAGATGTTAAGATGGTCCTGTTCAAATGCTGTTCTGTGTGTGTGTGTGGGCAACGTGAACTTAGAGGTCAACATAACATGGTAAGCATACATTTGTGTGGGAGGGTGTGCATGCTTTTGTACATTCATGCATGTAGGGGGGCATACACTTAATCCTTCCCTTTCCCTGCCAAACCTGAGATTCATCCCTATTTGGGAGTATCTAGGGTTGTCCAGTACCAGTCAGCTTCTCTATGTAAAAATAGACTGAAGTGAAGCCCACGGAGAACACTTGTTTACTCATTGTATGTGATGCTGGCTACCATCTGTTAGCGGGTATCTGCCCACCCATTGTAGACACAGCCAGAGAGGGCCATGTGATCCTCAACCGGGTTTAAAAGCGTATGGCTCAAACAGAGACTGGTATACAATACAATCCCACATTGTCTCCCCATCTCAAGGCGACACTGCACCCCTCTGGGTAAGTCTGCATGTTGTGTGTTTACATACAGAATACGTTTCTATGGGGAAACAATGTAACTCTTTGTCTCTATTGCTTATATGTGGTATATTATGTTAAATAATATGAAATACTATACATTCTATGGATAACAGGGAATATTTGCTGTTGATTTTTCTATGGTACTCCACACACATTTACACAGGTAAATTCTAAAGATGTCAGACACAGAAGAGGTTGAAAATGAGTAAGTAAATGACCAGTTCATCAATTGAATCATCTGAATTCTGTCTACCGATTGTTTTGTTTGTAGATCAATGATTGTGAATGATTCCATAATGGAATAGGATCATAACACAATTATTTGTATGTGTTATTCTTTCAGGGAGCAAGAACGTAAGTCATTGCACCAATTCAAATATTGTCTTGGGGAAAAACAACATAACTAAATGCTCATAAACCTACTGTGAATTAACATTTACATTTTAGTCATTTAGCAGACGCTCTTATCCAGAGCGACTTACAGGAGCAATTAGGGTTAAGTGCCTTGCTCAAGGGCACATTGACAGATTTTTCACCTAGTTGGCTCGGGGATTAGAACCAGCGACCTTTCGGTTACTGGCACAACGCTCTTAACCACTAAGCTACCTGCCCTGAGACATACTTCATGCAGTAAGGGCTCAGGTGCAGCTATAGGTATGTCAAAGTTTCATCATGGGGGATGGTGAAAACTGTTTAGAACTTTATTTCATCCATTGCCAATACACAGTATATGATTTATACAGAACGTTTAAGAATAATCTAGGCATAACTAATTGCTGATGTGAGTGTCTAAATACAGTATAGTGTAAAGTATACTTTATACTGATTTATAATATGTATTATTGTTTGTTTACATAGTTGTCCATGCTGCTGTTGTGTTCATGTACTGCTTTCACATGCTGGTACTGTACCTAATGATCTTCCTTCTCTGTGCATGTTGTCAGAAGGAGAGGAGGATATTTTAGGTGTGTATTACAAACAATATCTTACAGAACCAGTGAATTTAGTAGGCTATTTACTATAAAAACCCAATAATGTAATACTATTATATTGCATTCATAATGACATTATTGAATTGTCTGATTAAAACAATGAAGCAATTATTAGTTCTGCCACTTTGTTACCCTTTTTACACACCACAGCTTCCTCTACAGCTAGAGTCACCAAAAAGGCGGAATCCACTAAGCCCCTGGCATCTCCACTAGAGTGCATATTTTAGGCATGGGACTGTAGCTTCTGCTGTGGTATAAGCTTCTGCGCCACACAGACAACTTTTGTATTTGGCCCTCAGGTTGACCATCCTAACCCCACTTCCCTCCCCTGCCTCTGTCTCCCTCCTAAGGATGTTCCCTGGGGATTTATTTTATTTTATTTATTTTACTTGAAAGGTATGCTGGTGCCTGGGTACCCATCACCGATGACACATGGGCCCTATCTCTATTTCTGTCCCATCTTGTGGCCATGCTGTTGGGCTTCGACTGTCCCTGACTTCAACCAGCACGTCTCATCCCCACGTGGAGTTAGAGAGTTTAGAGTTGGTGTTATAGTGCTATGTGGGTCCGGTAGTCCAGAATAGAGGACCCTAGGGGAAAGATGCACAATGCCACTCTTGGTTTGTTGTGCCAAGATAGCACTCCTGGTGATGTGGTTCATGTTTCCCACTAAGCGGAGCAACAGAGTTAGTGTTACCAACCGCTGTGCTGTCACTGGCACTCTGACTGAGGAATTAATGGTGACCTTTGATATTCAGGCATGAAATGCACTGACTGCAACAATGAGAGAGCTTTAGAGAGCTGTATCACTCTACCTGGAGTGCTGCTCACATCGAGGACACCAATCCTATGAGAGAATAAAAGTCTGTTACACTCAGTCAATTCACAGTGTGAGAAAAAGGGTTGACAAACTGGCAGAAATAATTACTTTGATCCCATTGAGTAAAAGAAAAATAGAATGCTGTCTTAAATTACTACATAGCTTTTCTAGTTAGTCCATTGCTTATATTCCTACTATGTATGCCCGTGTCTTGGCTTGAGAATGACTGCTCTGCTCTCACAATATGCGCTGGCTTTGCAACAGACGAAGTGGAAGAGGAGGTGAAGGAGGAGGTGGAGGAGGAGGTGGAGGCTGCTGAGGAGGAGGAGGAGGTAGAAGGTTGTACTGCTTGTGCTCGTGCATGCACGCTAGCTAGCCTAATAACACTGACAGTAACAACTATACATACCGTATACACACACACACACACACACACACATTTGGCAGCTGTGTGTATTGATCATGACAGCATGGCTGTTTCAGTGAAATGCAATTCTGTATATTCTCAAGCTGGAACAGGATAGTAGGGTTCAAGCTCTCCATGGCTCTGGATACCTGAGTTCAAGTTAAATGGATCAAGCAGGTCACAGACCTTTTTCTAATCTGGTTTAGCACCGCTGTCTCCTTGGGTTTCCATGGGTCTAGTCATGGCTCTATTTCAGTCGCTCCTCTCGGCACCTTTTCACGTCTGTCATAGTTGACATTGTATTGACTCTGGCTTCTTTTACCAGACGCCGAAGAGGAGCAGGAGGAAGGAGGTAGGTAAAGGCTTACCAATCAAACCAGGTTATGAAAGGGGGGGGGGGGGGGGGGGTAATTTGTGTGTGAAAGTTAAACAAATATTGACCAGTTTTTCAATGTTCTGTCAAGTACATTTAATTGTGTCATTAACTGAATTCTCCCTTTTCCCATTCGGGAACAAGGTTGGGCAAAACCTAAACCAAAGTAAGTATGCTATATCAAAATTAATATGGATAATCTGAACTCAGTTTAGGAAATATTTCACATCCAAGAGAAAACTGTTGTGTTTTGTATCCTCCTCAGACCAGCCTTCATGCCCGGCCTGGTACCTCCCAAAATCCCAGATGGAGAGAAAGTGGACTTTGATGTCAGTTTGCCTCACTGTATCTGCACAAGTATTCTGAATATAAGGACCTACAGTGCATTCGGAAAGTATTCAGACCCCTTCACTTTTTCCACATTTTGTGACATTACAGCCTTATTCTAAAATTGATTAAATCGTTTTTTTCCCTCATCAGTCTACACACAATACCCCATAATGAAAAAGCAAAAACTGGTTTTTAGAAAAACAAATATTGGGTATGATGCTACAAGCTTGGCACACCTGTATGTGGGGAGTTTCTACCCATTTTTCTCTGCAGATCCTCTCAAGCTCTGTCAGGTTGGATGGGGAGCGTCACTGTACAGCTATATTCAGGTCTCTCCAGAGATGTTCGATCGTGTTCAAGTCTGGGCTCTGGCTGGGCCACTCAAGGACATTCAGAGACTTGTCCTGTAGCCACTCCTGCATTGTCTTGGCTGTGTGCTTAGGTTTGTTGTCCTGTTGGAAGGTGAACCTTCGCCCCAGTCTGAGGTCCTGAGCGCTCTGGATGAGGTTTTCATCAAGGATCTCTCTGTACTTTGCTCCCTCAATCCAGACTATTCTCCCTGTCCCTGCTGCTGAAAAACACCCTCACAGCATGATGCTGCCACTACCATGCTTCACCGTAGGGATGGTAACAGGTTTCCTCCAGACGTGATGTTTGGCATTCAGGCCAAAGAGTTCAATCTTGGTTTCATCAGACTGAAGAATCTTGTTTCTCATGGTCTGAGAGTCTTTAGGTGCCTTTTGGCAAACTCCAAGCGGGCTGTCATCTGCCTTTTACTGAGGAATGGCTACCGTCTGGCCACTCTACCATAAATAACTGATTGGTGGAGTGCTGCAGAGATGGTTGTTCTTCTGGAAGGTTCTCAAATCTCCACAGAGGAACTCTGGCGCTCTGTCAGAGTGACCATCGGGTTCTTGGTCACCTCCCTAAACAAGGCCCTTCTCCCCCGATTGCTCAGTTTGGCCGGGCGGCCAGCTCTAGGAAGAGTATTGGTGGTTCCAAACTTCTGCCATTTAAGAATGGTGGAGGGCACTGTGTTCTTGGGGACCTTCAATGCTGCAGAAATGTTTTGGTACCCTTCCCCAGATCAGTGCTTCGACACAATCTTGTCTCGGAGCTCTACGGACAATTCCTTCGACCTCATGGCTTGGTTTTTGCTCTGACATGCACTGTCAACTGTGGGACCTTATATAGACAGGTGTGTGCCTTTCCAAATCATGTCCAATCAATTGATTTTACCGCAGATGGACTCCAATCGAGTTGTAGAAACATCTCAAGGATGATCAATGGAAACAGGATGCACCTGAGCTCAATTTCGAGTCTCATAGCAAAGGGTCTTAATATTTATGTAAATACGTTGTTTTTTTGTGTGTTTTTTTACTAACACTTCAAAATACCTATTTTCGCTTTGTCATTATGGGGTATTGTGTGTAGATTGATGAGAAAAATAAATAATTCAATCAATTTTAGAATAAGGCTGTAACGTAACAAAATGTGGAAAAAGTCAAGGGGTCTGAATAATTTCCGAATGCACTGTATACTGACCTGGAGTAGGATCAAGTTGCACCTAACCACTGAAACAGAGACATCTTTTTTCATCACCTAATTATATGAGGATGGGGTTGTAGGGGTTATCTGATCCTAGATCTGTGGTTAAGTGCAACTTCTACCTCAAATAACTAACCATGTCCTCCCTGCATGACCTCTCACCCTGTCCTCTGACCTCTGACCTCTCACCCTTGAACCTGTCCTGCCTGTAGGATATCCACCGCAAGCGTATGGAGAAGGACCTGACTGAGCTGCAGACGCTTATCGAGGCCCATTTTGAGAGTCGCAAGAAGGAAGAAGAGGAGCTCATCAACCTCACTGATCGTATTGTGAGATACTGTTACATCATTCTATGTTCAGATAGATTGATGTAACAGTAGGCTATCTGAACATAGATTGATGTAACAGTAGGCTATGTTCAGATAGCCTACTGTTACATCATTCTGTGTTCAGATAGCCTACTGTTACATCATTCTTTGTTCAGATAGCCTACTGTTACTTAATTCTGTGTTCAGATAGCCTACGGTTACATCATTCTTTGTTCAGATAGCCTACTGCTTGCTCTGTCGTTGCTTCACATACAGTTCTAGTCAAATACTTTTGGATATGATACATGGGTACATAAATAGGGATATATGTGCGATGGGGTTATAACTAATCTAATACTATCCCCTCTGTGCCTCTGGTTCTCAGGATAAACGCAGGTCTGAGAGAGCAGAGCAGGTGAGGATCCGAACGGAGAAAGAAAAGGAGCGTCAAAACAGAATAAACGTGAGTATCCCCCGAGCAACACAAGGAATGGCAGTGGACGGCATGGAACACTGTACATTAGTAGAAAGTAGAACAACTGTGGTAATGTTGTATTTTTCTCTCATCTCCAGGAGGAAAAGGCAAGGAAGGAGGAAGAGGAATTTAAGAAGAAAGCAGATGATGACGCCAAGAAGAAAAAGGTCCTCACCAACTTGCAGTTCAGCGGGTACAAGGTGACAGAAATCATCCTAAAACACCCTTACAGCACCAGTCTTTCTGAATTGTTACCAGTGTGAAACGTATAGCTAATGTCTGTACATCTTGTTATACTGTAACTACAGACAGAAAAGAAAGGTGGGCCAAGAAAGAAAACAGAGCGAGAGAAGAAGAGAGCGATCTTAAGTGAACGGCATAAGGAGCTGAATATTGACCATCTCAAAGAGGACAAACTAAGGTAAGGTTGAGAAGAACTTTACACTGGCATGTAGTGATAATGTACAATATGATAATGAATTATGTTACAATCTCACCCTAACCAGATGAAGGACTACTCTCTCATTATGCTACAGATATTCAGTTACCCACTGAGCAGCATTATAGGTTTGTCCTCATTTCCCCTATGTTCTATTATTTCCACTGTCTCCCTCAAATAGAGAGAAGGCTACTGAACTGTGGAAGTGGATACATCAACTTGAGGCAGAGAAATTTGATCTCCAGTACCAATGCTCGCGACAGAAATATGATGTAAGATTATGCCAATTTCTTTTTATTCTAGACTAGGCTATAGTATCAAACTGAAAAGAAAAATGATATGTGCATATGATTCACATGAAAGTGAAAGTATAAACAACAGCCTTTTTTTTTATAAACAACAGCCTTGCTAACACCTCCTGTACGATAAAGTGACATGAGTAGAGATTTATATACTGCTTTTGCATAAATGAACACATACAGTGGCATGCAAAAGTATTCACCCCCCTTGGCATTTTTCCTATTTTGTTGCCTTAAAACTTGGAATTAAAATTGTTTTTTTGGGGGGGGGTTAAATCATTTCATTTACACATCATGCCTACCACTTTGAAGATGCAAAATATTTTTTCTTGTGAAACAAACAAGAAATAAGACCAAAAAAATACAGAAAACTTGAGGGTGCAATTACAGGTTGTAATGCAACAAAATAGGAAAAACCCCAAGGGGGATGAATACTTTTGGAAGGCGCTGTACACAATACCACAAAACCTCACCCTCTTTATAACTAGAGTTCACCCAAGATCTGGAAACTATATCTCAATGGACTTGACAGGGAGGCATAGAAAAGTCAATTGGCTGTGATCCAAGAGAAATATAAAGACATATGTTAATTAAAAACGTTCAAATGTACATGCATTTAAAAACATTAACATGTGGTGTGTGTAGATGATTGTATTTACTGTCAAAACTCTAATTTATATAGGTCACCGTACTCAGGAATCGAGTCAGCGATCATCAGAAAGTGTAAGTACAAAAGACATGACCTAGATACCAGTGGCGGTCGGTGTCATTCAAAGTTAGGGAGGAGCATGGCCTTATTTCTATTATAGCATATTGGATGACTGTCATTCATATTCCATTCACCCAGCTCAATGTAACATTGATAGGTTTAGGCTACTACATGATACTTCAATTTGCCCTATGCCGATCATGAGGTTGCTACAACCTACCCTACAAATGAACGAATAACGGAGGTCAAAAGACAAATTGGGGTCTTCAAGGTGACAGATAGTGACACATTCAATACCGCACAGTCTTGCCTGCATCTAGCTGATCTGGGGAGTAATGATACATCTGAACAGTTACAAAATGGAAAACTAAAACAAGAGTTTCTATTGGACAAAGGTAGGTCCTCTCCCCATTTCGTTCCATTTTACAGTGTACAGCAAGCAGTTTAGCAATTACACTGGAGGGCCCCGGGGAAATAAATGTATAAAACTGAAACTTACCTTGACTTGGAAGAGTTGCAGTATTGGATAGCCTTAGCCAGCTAGCTGTCATGAATAGCATTCCTCTCTGTTTGAGTCAGGTTGTTGAGTAGGCTAAATTAGCTGCATTATAAGTAAGTGAAAGGAAAACTGCTTCTCCTTAATTTTTTAGAAATTAATTTGTTCAAAACAGTTCAACTATTGTCTTTCTCTCTCTTTGAGTCAACTACTCACCACACTTTATTCACTGCAGTGCTAGCCAGCTGTAGCTTATGCTTTCAGCACTAGATTCATTCTCTGATCCTTTGATTAGATGGACAACATGTCAGTTCATACTGCAAAAGCTCTCATAGGTTGGAGGCCATCCTCCAGAAGTCGTCATAATTACTGTGTAAGTCTATGGAATTATCACGTTTTAGGGAAAACCCAGATGCAGACAGTGTTGAAGTAACAAAAGTTTATTACTAGAACAGGGGGCAGGCAAAACAGAGGGGCAGGCAGAGGTTAGTAATCCAGATCAGAGTCCAAAAGGTACAGTATGGCAAGCAGTCTCAGGGTCAGGGCAGGCAGAGGTCAGTAATCCAGCGTGGTGGGACAAGGTACAGGACGGCAGGCAGGCTCAGGGTCAGGGCAGGCAGAGGTCAGTAATCCAGCGTGGTGGGACAAGGTACAGGACGGCAGGCAGGCTCAGGGTCAGGGCAGGCAGAGGTCAGTAATCCAGCGTGGTGGGACAAGGTACAGGACGGCAGGCAGTCTCAGGGTCAGGGCAGGCAGAGGTCAGTAATCCAGCGTGGTGGGACAAGGTACAGGACGGCAGGCAGGCTCAGGGTCAGGGCAGGCAGAGGTCAGTAATCCAGCGTGGTGGGACAAGGTACAGGACGGCAGGCAGTCTCAGGGTCAGGGTAGGCAGAGGTCAGTAATCCAGCGTGGTGGGACAAGGTACAGGACGGCAGGCAGGCTCAGGGTCAGGGCAGGCAGAGGTCAGTAATCCAGCGTGGTGGGACAAGGTACAGGACGGCAGGCAGGCTCAGGGTCAGGGCAGGCAGAGGTCAGTAATCCAGCGTGGTGGGACAAGGTACAGGACGGCAGGCAGGCTCAGGGTCAGGGCAGGCAGAATGGTCAAAACCGGGAAAACTAGAAAACAGGAACTTTAGAAAAGAAAGGAGCAAGGGGAAAAACAATGGTAGGCTTGACGAACAAAACGAACCGGCAACAGCCAAACAGAGAACACAGGTATAAATACACTGGGGATAATGGGGAAGATGTGCAACACCTGGATAGGGGTGGAGACAAACACAAAGACAGGTGAAACAGATCAGGGTGTGACAGTACCCCCCCCCTCTAGGGGCGCCATCTGGCGTCCTACCTGGGTGCATACCTGGTTGACCGGGGTGCCCTAGCGGGGACCCAGCACCTCTCCTCCGGGCCATAACCATCCCAGTCAAACAGGTACTGGAATCCCCTTCCCCGAGGTCAAATGTTCAGGAGACGCCTCACCATGTACGCCGGTTGGACGTCGATGAGACGGGGTAGAGGGGTGGGCCTGGAAACAGGAGACAAATGGCTGAGAGACATGGGTTTGATTTTAGACACATGAAGTAGGATGTATACGGAGGGTACAGGGCAACAGAAGACGAGCAGCAGATGGGGAAATGGCCGATAAACTGGGGGAAAGTTTGCAGGACTCCACCCAGAGGGGCAGATCCCGGGTGGACAGCCATACCTTCTGCCCGAGACCGGACTGGTGGCGGTCCGCTTGTTGTCGATACCTGGAGGTTGTCTTGAGAAGGGCAGACTGGGCTCTCTTCCAGGGACGACGACAGCGGCGGATAAACATCTGGGCTAAGGTATGCCAACCTCTTCCTCTTGCTCAGAGAAGAGCAGGGGCTGATAGCCCAGGGAACACTCAAAGGGCGAGAGACCTGTGGCAGAGCAAGGAAGGATGTTGCAGGCGTATTCGATCCACACTAGTTGCTGGCTCCAGGTGGTGGGGTTTGCGGAGACCAGGCAGCGAAGAGTTGTTTCCAAGTCTTGGTTAGCTCGCTCCGACTGGCCGTTGGACTGGGGGTGGAACCCGGAGGACAGGCTGCCTGACAACCTAATGAGCGTGCAGAATGCCTTCTGGAAAACCGGTTCACAACTGTCAGGATGCCGGTGTTGCCATCAGATGGAGTATGTGAGACCAGGGACGGTGAGGGACAGGCAGTGGTTGAAGAAGACCAGCCGGAGCTTGCCGAGGAGTCTTGTTCTATGTACAGACGGCAACGAACGCATAGACATCCGGGACCATGGTAGGTCACCAAAAGTGTTGTCGCACAAAGGCCAGGGTCTGACAGGAGCACAGTGGCAGGCAAGCCTGAAGGAGTGGGCCCATTCCAGGACCGAGGAGCAGACAGCGTCAGGATACAAACATCTGGTTATCTAGGCCGCCCCCTGGGGTTCGGCTGGGAACGTTGCGCCTCATGGACCTGCTTCCCTATTCCCCAGCTGAGTGCCGTCGCCAGACACAAGGTGGGAAGGATGGTTTCGGGGTCAGAGGGTGTAGCCGCAGGGCTATAGCGGCGTGACAGCGCATCCGGCTTTTTGTTCTTGGATCCTGGTTGGTTGGAGAGGGAGAAGTTGAACTAGGTGAAGAGCAGGGCCCACTTAGCTTGCCTGGAATTGAGACGTTTAGCGGTGCGGAGATATTCCAGGTTCTTGTGGTCGGTCCACACAAAGAACGGATGTTTCGCCCCCTCCAGCCAGTGCCTCCACTCCTCCAATGCCATCTTAACCGTGTGAAGCTCACGATTCCCCACATTGTAGTTCCTCTCTGTGGTGTTGAGGCGATGGGAGAAGAAGTCGCAGGGATGTAACTTGAGGTCCAGGGCAGAACATTGGGACAGGACAGCCCCCACTATAGGTCTCCATCGCCTTGGTCTCCGGACCCGACAGAGAGTACTGTCATCCCGGGGCGGAGTGGTGCCTGGGAGAAGGTAAATCCCGCAGTTATAGGGTCGGTGCGGTGGAAGCGAAGTGGCCCGGGCCTTACTGAACACCTCCCGGAGGGCCTGGTACTCCGCGGGAATGGCGGAGAGGTCCGGGGCAACTTCCGAGCCCACAGGAAGACATCCCAGGCCAGGCTACGCGGACTTCATACAATAGGTGTGGCAGAATGGCTCCAGCCCATAATGGCACCCATAGTCCAGTCTATGATGGGATTATGTTGCTGGAGCCAAGAGAATCCCAATACCACAGGAACCTGAGGAGACTTAATCAGCATGAATTGGATTGCCTCTCTGTGGTTCCCTGACACTCGTAGGTTGATGGGAGTGGTATTGGGAGTGACCCGGCCTATAGAGCGCCCGTCCAGCGCTCTAACATCCATGGGAATGGAGAGGGGCTGAGTGGGGATGCCCAGCTCGGACCCCAGTGTAGCGTCCAAAATACTCTCATCGGACCCAGAGTCGATGAGTACCCGGAGAGATTTCAACTGGTTACCCCACAGCAGGATGGCATGGAAAGGGGTGCGAGTAAGGGGAGAGGAAAGGTTCTGCATAATCCCACCAGAGTACTCGCCCCTTCTTGATGAGCCTGTTTTTTTTAATGGGCAGGTAGCTATGAAATGTCCCGTAGCTCCACAATATAGACAGCTCTGGGTGTGGAGTCGGCGTAAGCGCTCAGCCAGAGTCAATCTAGCCCTGCCCAGGTGTCTGGACTCCGAAGGAGTCGAGTCGGCAGCCCTAGGTGATTCCTGAGAGAACTCGGTTGACGTCGGGTTCACTCGGACATGTAGACTTCGGGGGTCTCCGGGATTCTTCGGAGGCGAGGTGGGAATTGAGGGCGAACGAGAGCGACAGGGCACAGATTCCGTCTCCCTCTTACATTCTCGAAGCCACCCATCGATCCGGATGGTCAAGTCAATGAGGGAGTCAAGGTCCATGGGCAGCTCCCGGGCTGCAATCTCATCTTTGACCACCTCCGATAATCCGTGAAGGAACATGTCGAACAATGCTTCCCGGTTCTAGGCACTCTCAGCCGCCAACGTGCGAAAATACACTGCGTAGTCTGCCACACTACGGGAGTCTTGACGTAGCTTCCGAACTTCCGCCACAAACTCCTCTAGACTGAGGCAGACGGTGGACTGTTGCTCCCACACCGCCGTAGCCCAGGCGAGTGCCCTCCTGGACATCAGCGTTATGATGTACACTATCCTTGAGGGGTACGAGGGGAACGAAGAAGGCTGCAGCTCGAAAATGAGGGAGCACTGGGAGAGAAAAGCCTGACAGGTTCCGGAATCTCCAGCGTAGCGCTCCGGAGGAGGTAAGTGGTGTTCTCAGGGACACTGGGGTAGGGGGGTGTGACCCGCTGCCCAATGGGGAATCCGCAGAATTGCTTCAGCAAAGTCTCGAACACCTGGTTCATGACGTTCTGCCAGGGTATGGAGTCCCTCCCATTAGACATTGCAGTAACTCCTCGTGTCGTCCAATGGCGGCTCCTTGCAGGGAGACAGCATTGTGGAGCTGGTCTGAGTCTGCTGGGTCGGTCAGGGCCAGTTCGTACTATCACGTTTTAGGGAAGACCCAGATGCAGACAGTGTCGAAGTAACAAAAGTGTATTACTAGAACAGGGGGCAGGCAAAATGACAGGTCAAGGGCAGGCAGAGGTCAGTAATCCAGTGTGATGGGACAAGGTACAGGACGGCAGGCAGGCTCAGGGTCAGGGCAGGCAGAATGGTCAAAACCGGGAAAACTAGAAAACAGGAACATTAGAAAAGACAGGAACAAGGGGAAAACCGCTGGTAGGCTTGACGAAACAAAACGAACCGGCAACAGCCAAACAGAGAACACAGGTATAAATACACTGGGGATAATGGGGAAGATGGGCGACACCTGGAGGGGGGTGGAGACAATCACAAAGACAGGTGAAACAGATCAGGGTGTGACAGGAAGGGAATGAGAACCATGAGCCTCGTAGGTTTTGTATTAAAGTCAATGTACCCAGAAGAGGACGGAAAATAGCTGTCCTCCGGCTACACTATGGTGCTGTTGAGGCTACTGTAGACCTTCATTGCAAAACAGTGTGTTTTAATCAGTTATTTGGTGACATTCATATATTTAGTATAGTTTTATCTTTAAAGGATAACTTTTTTAATGTTTCACTATTTACATTTTCCTGAAATTCACTTAGTATGATGGTCCCCCCTTCCTCCTCTGAGAAGCCTCCACTTCTATATGCTTCCTAAACATACACAACACATTCCAAGAATCCTAATTTCAATCGTATTTATAATTTCTGAACTCCCGATAATTTGCCTAGTTTTCTTCCAGCAGTGTTGCAGCCGATGATAATACCCTGCTAAGACTGATAAGCCGTCCCAATGTAGAGGCTCACCTTGAGCCTAATCAAGTTTCTTCCCCCTCCTGTCTTTCCATCCCCTCCACCCTCTGCCCGTTGCCAGTTGTTTGAAGTGACTCTCCTAACAGCTGCAAACTGACCCTGGGGCTGAGAGGGGCTGAGAGGGGCTGAGAGGGGCTGGCGCTGTGGCACACCCGGCTCACCGGGATCCAGACAACAAAGGCCTGGGTGTTAATTAAAGAAAAGGGTCTCAGAAGAGAGCGGCCTATAGGGCGCCTGAACAACCAAAACAACAAATGCAAGCATGCACGTCAACACACACACACACACACACACACAGGGGACATAATGGAACCGCAACAGCTGAAAGGACCCACATCTACCTGTGAGGTCACCACTAGTAATACGCCCCACAATAAAATACAGAAGACGTAACACTGGTATTCTAAACATGCCAGACCTACCTTCAGATACCTCATGTAGGTTATCTGAAGGCACTATATTTGGGTCTGATCTGACAGTTTAGTTACCAGGCTCTAGTAAACTAGCCTGAGCACGTCAGTACGTGTACTAAGGACATGAAACAGCTATCATAAGGCTGCGGGCCCCACACTGTTGGAATCATAAGTAAATTAAATGGCTATTTCAATGGTTTCAGACCTGCACCAATTTGCCAGACTTAATCCCACTTCAATCTGGGTGTTAATCAATACTATCAATATTGTCTTAAACAACCGAATGCTGAAATCACACATTGTGGCATAGTACATGTTGCAATGTGGCGTAATGGGCTGGTTGTCAGCATAAAGCAAAAAGATCACTCACCAGAGTAGCAACATAAAATGACTATGCAGTTATTCTCAGTGGAAGAGTCAAGCTCTATGAATTTGCTTAATCCCTGTCCCATGACACATTGCTTTCAGCAGCCTTTACTGGCTTCTCTCTAAAGGGGCATCACATTCAAACAACCACTGCCAGGGTATGGGGACATGATCTGCACCATGCTACACATGCCTGGGGGCTTACTCACATACAAACACTGAACATGGCTTCATGGCTTCATTCAAAGGTTAGAATGAAGGTAACATATTCAGGAGTAGAAGGCATGGCAGGTACCGTAGATAATGCATAGGAGAAGTGTGATGTCTCCCCTTGTAAGCTGTTCCGTGTCAGTGGTACATGCATCTCGGAGATCAGACCACCATGGTTGTGCCGATTCTTCATACTTACTACTATACGATACAGTACCCATGTTTGTATAGTATAGCAGTATATCTGAGAAGGGTAAACCAATTGCCTTAGGACAATAAAGCCAAAACACTTGGTAAGATGTTTGTTTTCTGAATTCTTTGTTTCCCTATTGGGTTTACCTATTGGTTTGTACTGGGTTTCCCACTCATACCTTGCAGTGCCAAACCTCTCAAGCAATGTAATTATGTGGCTTGAGTGTGAATTCACTTGGAGACATATTTACATTACATTTTAGTCATTTAGCAGACGCTCTTATCCAGAGCGACTTACAGTTAGTGAGTGCTTACATTTTTTATACTGCCCCCCCGTGGGAACCGAACCCACAACCCTGGCGTTGCAAGCGCCATGCTCTACCAACTGAGCTACACAGGGCCTATATACTATATACATTTTATGACACAGTATATTTTGCATTAGTTATCTTTTTTGTTTGTTTTTAGTCCCACCCTTCAGCTACCCTCACCCCCTCCTATCGATCTCTGAAAACCATCCAGTTTTATTTTCTAATTGCCATATTTTTCAACTGTACTGTAATGTTTCACAAAAGTTCTGAACCTTTCTATTCTCATAGTTTCTACAGATTGTAGATTAAAGATTAATATTTTACTAAAAGTATTATATTATTGATCAATTGACTATGGATTTTCAAGTCACCCAGCAGTGCTATTTGCAGTTAGCTCCAGGTAAATGTTGCAATTCTTCAGCCATTCCTGAACCTGCGACCAAAAACAAGCTATATACAAATGGGCAGTACCAAAACAAGTGATCAAATGATTGTCTCTTCGCAGCAAAATCTGCAGAGCTGGGATGGTTGTATCACCCATATACATAACATTCTATTGGTTGCAATAATTTCTATAACATGCCATTTACATCAAAAATAGAGATTTGGTTGTAAAAAACAAAAAACGTATTGTCTTCTTGGCTGGTGGGTGGCCTGGTTGATATAACAGTGCTAACCTTGTCTCTCTTCTCAGTACCAAGGGGACCAGGAGCAAACGGGGCTTGAGGAAATAGTGTTGCAGATCAGAATTGAGACCACAGGAGTCCATTCCATTCATACCACCTTGCCCGAGGTACATCCTGGTACTCTACAGACAAGGAAGACTTGTGTGACATATGGAATATTTTTCTGAAAACATATTTGGAAGTAACTTATGTGGATTGTTATTTTTAGGGAAGAATGTATCATAATAAACCCAAAAAATATGTTTGGAAGTCTCTCTCCTCAAATATGACGAGCAACAACATAGATGACTAAGAAGGTAACCTTTCTTGAGTTGCAAGGGAGGAAACAAAATGTTGAACATTGTTATGACAACTTTATCCCTTTTAAATCTCTTATCCTTTCAGTAAAGACACATAACCTCAATATTCTAAACATTCACCCTGATACACATATGAAATAAAGTCAGATTTAGAAATGAGGGTTAAGGTTAAGTGGGTAATTAGCAGTTGAAACAACAACAAAGGTTATTCCTGCCAATATTTCATTTATAAGTCCAAAAAAGGATGTAGCAAAAGCAGATTGGCAATTTAAAGCGGCAATCAGCAGTTGAAACAATAACAAAGCATATTCCCCACCACTGTTTTGGTAAAAGCTGAGGAATGGGAATGGGGAAATATAACAACTCTCATATTCATAGACAGAGCTATGGATGCAAGGACTGGCCATCCATGATATCAACATTATAGTTTTAACTAATGGGGTACGACAGTTGAACTAAGCTCATGAAAATAAATAATTAATGTATAAGTCAACTGCTGATTGCCCCTTTAAGGGTACTGTGAGGATTGGCAACAGCTCCTCCTCCACACCGACTCTGAGCGCAGGGGCCCCCCAGGGCTGTGTCCTCAGTCCTCTGCTGTACTCTCTGTTCTCTGTTCACCCACGACTGTGTGGCTTTGCACAACACAAACTCCATCAAAAAGTTTACTGACGACACCACCTGATAGGCCTGATAACCAACAATACAGAGTCAGCCTATAGGGAGGAGGTAAGTGAACTAGCATTGTGGTTTCATGACAACAACCTCTCCCTCAATGTCAGCAAAACAAAGGAGTTGATTGTTGACTTCAGGAAGCAGAGGAGGGAACATGCCCCGATCCACATCAATGGGACTGCAGTAGAGTCACACGTTTTAAGTTCCTCTGCATCCACATCACAGAGGACTTGACATAGACCAACAACACCACCACTCTTGTCAAGAGGGTGCAACAGCGTCTCTACTTCCTAAGACGGCTGAAAAAATGTGGCATGCCGCCCCGGTTTCGCTCCAAATACTATCAATGCACCATCGAGAGTGTCCTGACCGATTGCATCACGGCCTGGTATGGGAATTGCTCCGTCCACGACCGCAAGGGCATCTAGTCGGATGGTGAAAATGGCCCAGTATATCACTGGGGCTGTGCTCCCACCCATTCAGGACATCTACTCGAAACAGTGACTAAGAAAGGCATGCAGCATCATCAAGGACCCCACACACCCCAGCCACGAGCTGTTCTCTCTCTTACCGTTGGGCAGATGGTATCGCAGTGTGAGGCCTGATACCAACAGGCTCAGAGACCGTTTCTATCTACAAGCCATCAGACTGCTGAACACTTGAACTGGACTGACCACCTGCTCTAATTCTCCGCACCTTGGCACAGATGCACACATCGACACAGACATGCACACACACACACACTGTGCCTTCAGAAAGTATTCACACCCCTTGAATTTTTCTACATGTTATTGTGTTACGGCCTGAATTTAAAATTGATTCATCCCATAATGTCAAAGTGGAATTACGTTTTTAGACATTTTTAGAAATTCATAAAAAATGACAACTTGAAATGTCTTGAGTCAATAAGTATTCAATCCCTTTGTATTGGCAAGCCTAAATAAGTTCAGGAGTAAACGTTTTCTTAAGTCACATAATAAGTTGCATGGATTCAGTCTGTGTCCAATAATAGTGTTTAACATGATTTTTGAATGACTGCCTCATCTCTGTACCCCACACATGCAATTATCTGTAAGTATCCTTAGTTGAGCAGTGAATTTCAAACACAGATTCAACCACAAAGACCAGGGAGGTTTTCCAATGCCTCGCAAAGGGCAGCTATTAGTAAATGGGTAAAACACATTTTAAAAAGCAGATATTGAATATCCCTTTGAGCATGGTAAAGTTATTAAACACTTTGGATGGCGTATCAATACACCCAGTCACTACAAATATACAGGCGTCCTTCCTAACTCAGTTGCCTGACAGGAAGGAAACCGCTCAGGGATTTCACCATGAGGCCAATGGAGACTTTAAAACAGTTACAGAGTTGAATGGCTGTGATAGAAGAAAACTGAGGATGGATGAAAAACATTGTAGTTACTCCACAGTACTAATCTAAATGACAGAGTGAAAAGAAAGAAGCCTGTACATAATACAAATATTCCAAAACACACATCCTGTTTGCAACAAGGCACTAAAGTAATACTGCAAATCAATTAACTTTTTTTTCTTGAATACAAAGTGTTACGTTTGGGGAAAATACAATACAACACATCTCCATATTTTCAAGCATGGGGGTGGAAGCATTGTGTTATGGGTATGCTTGTAATCGTTAAGGACTGGGGAGTTTTTCAGTATGAAAAAAAAAATGGAATGGAGCTAAGCACAGGCAAAATCCTAGAGGAAAACCTGGTTCAGTCTGCTTTCCACCAGACACTGGGAGATGAATTCACCTTTTAGCAGGACAATAACCTAAAACACAAGGCCATATCTATACTGCATTTGCTTACCAAGATGACAGTGAATGTTCCTGAGTGGCCAAGTTAGTTTTGAATTAAATCTACTTGAAAATCTATGGCAAGACCTGAAAATTGTCTTTAGCAATGATCAACAATCAATTTGACAGACCTTGAAGAATTCTAAAATGAATAATGGACAAATGTTGCACAATCCAGGTGTGGAAAGCTCTTAGAGACTTACCCAGAAAGACTCACAGCTGTAATCACTGCCAAAGGTGCTTCTACAAAGTATTCACTCATGGATGGGAATAATTATGTAAATTAGATGTTGCAAAAATGTCTAAAACATGTTTTCACTTTGAAAATATGGGGTATTGTGTGTAGATGGGTGAACATTTTGTTTTTTGAATTTATTTTGAATTCAGGCTTTAACACAACAAAATATGGAATAAGTCAAGGGGTATGAATACTTTTTGAAGGCACTGTATATGTTCATGCTACACACACATCACAGCTGCTGCTACCAGACTCTTTGTCACAGATTCTGCCGAGGCTGCCCCTCCTCCTTGCTCGGGCAGGCTTCGGCGTTCGTCGTCACCGGAATACTAGCTACTGCTGATCTATGTTCTACGTTTCTATGTTCTACCTGTTGTTGTCTGATTGTCACACACCTGTTTCCCATCCTGTAATTACTCCTTCCCTATTTAACCCGGTGGCTCCCATTGTGTTTTGTGTGTGTTTGTTTTTCGTTTCGTATGTCGTTTGTTGAGCGGGTTTGTTCCTTCCTGTGTGGAGGTATTTTGTATTGGTTTCTTTACTTACCAGTAAAGTACATTTTCATTGAGTTCTGTGTCCTGCGCCTGACTTCGACCCACCGCATTACACTGACACTCGTGACACTCTTATTATAATACTCCGTTTATACACTGCCCCCCATCCCCAATACAAATGTAAATATTGGACTATAAATTGTGCCTTCCTGTATTATACTTATGCTCAAATGTTTATTCTATTCTACTGAGACATTTACTCTATGTTCCTATTCTTATCTTTGATAATTTTTTATTGTTGCTTTGTCGAGAAGGAATCTGCAAGTAAGCATTTCGTTGGACGATGTGTATACCATGTGCATCCCGTGCATATGACTAATAAAACATGAAACTGAAATTAAGCATAGGTATAGTTTTAGTGTGGTTAAAGCTAGTGTCCTTAGTTGCTACATCAACTTTTGGACTTGCCTCACGAGAACCTAAAATATGAGCTTGTTTTACTTCAATGTTTGTAAACTATGTAAATGTAAACAAACACTGTATAGCCTCAAAACATGGTTAAAACTGTAATTTTGATATAATGGATAGTCAGTCTTTGCATCCATAGCTCGGTCTATGATTTTGAGATTGGTTTATTTCTCCAGGCCCATTCCTCAGCTTTTTACCAAAACAGAAGCGTGGCGACCACTTTGTTATTGTTTCAACTAAGGGTTGTAGCTTAAAGGTAGCTTAAAGGTAACCGTTAGGGTTAGCTAAATGCATGGGTACAGTCACAAAGACATGAGGCAGAGGGAGCACAATGTACAGTCTGCCGCCATTCATTTTCTGCCAGTTAAATATACTGCCTAGTTCATAATTAGACAATGAAACACTGGAGGTGGAAGAATGATGTCACAGGGTGGCGCTTCACAAGATCCAGACTGTACATTGCGCTCCCTCTGCCTCATGTCTTTGTGACTGTACCCATGACTCTGGGAACCTGAGGTATCTACTTTAATGACGATTAATGCCATGGGCATTAAAATACCAACCACACCTTCCTTGATGGCCATAATTGACATCCTGGCTGCCAGTGCCTAGTCTGCATCATCCTGCATTGTTTCACACTCCGTTTTTGTACTTGTACACCATGTGAGATAGTAGCTATCGTGTTCTTTGGTGGGAATAGTCATCAGCAAGATGAGCTGTACGCAAATTAATATATCTCAAGCTAAAAGGTCAAACATTACCCACCGCCATTCCCTATACATTCCCTATAGTTTATTTTAATAAAACATGTCCACAAATCTATAAATTCAAAGGAACCACACAATTGTTTTTTGTTACTATACAAACACCGGTCTCGCTTTAAATGATGTGCAGCTTATAAAGGCTTCATAAAGCCTTCATAAACACTACATAAATGTCACAAATCATCTATAACCATATGTCAGGCTCTATAAAGGGGTTCATAAATGTGGCATAACTGTGTGACATAACCACCCATGTCAAATGTGACATAACCCACTATGTCAAATATGACATAAGCACTGCTTACACAACGGTAAATGGTTTGGGGAAAAGGGGTTGAGCTGGACCCAAGGAATGAAATAATAAATTCAAAAACCCCTAACCTGATCCTGCCTGCCACAAGAACCGCTAGCTTGCAACTAACTATAAGGTCTAAATAGTGTTTTTAGACAAAGATTTCCTACGGGTAGTGTATGC